CAAGAACTGACTGTTGCTATATCTGTTCTCATCCCAAACTGAAACAATTTCAGGCAAATAGAGACTTACTTTTAGTCACATTTATATTTTGAAGGGACCTAAAATGGATGCAGCAGCCCATTTACTGAAAAATGATGTGCTAAGGACTGATCTTCCATCAGAACAGGGTGTGATAAAGGAATTACAAAAGCATGCCCAAAGATAAGTTATGCTGTGGAGAACAATGGGGTGGTTTCCTCCTTTCCTCATGCTAATGTGAGATGCAGGCAGTGGTCTGTTATTGTGACTGTCATATTTTAAGAAAAATGGATCTCTGCATGGCTTCTTAGTGCTTGGTTGTTACTGAGTCAACTGCCAGAACAGTGAGATGAAGCAGTCCTCTAAGGTGTTCATGTGTGGATAAACAGATGTTATAATGGCATAAATAGGAAAAGGGGTATCAGGGAGTAATCTTGCCCCTAGGAATTCAGGATTTTTATTTTATTTGCATTCATCTTCTTTCACTCACCCAACAAAGCTCACTGATAAACTAACCCCTTTCACATCAGATGGCTGCAGTGCCTCAGGCTGGTGGGTGTTTAGATGCTGGAGAAGCAGTGGAATTTGAAAACAAAGCAAGCTTTAGCAACTCAACAATCCTTCCCATAATTTTGCTGGCTCCAGGATTGGGCAGAAATAGTGCATTCTGCTTCATCTAACATCACTATTTTAAGTTTGGTTGTAGAAAAAAATGAACGGCATAACAATTTTAATGTGCAGGCAAGTTCGACCTTGCCATCCCAGCTTTTCAAAGAAATAGACCCTTTGACTTTGGCTATGAGGTGCATGTCCAGACTGCCCAGTTGGATTTTTAACTGCCAGAAGCTAGTCAGGGCCCTTGGTTTAGCTGTGCATCAACATCTCACTCTGAATGACACTGTCTCTCTTAACTACAGTCGCTTAACAGTCTCTACCCAAATGCTGCTACTGCAGACCATGAGCACTACAGCAACAGACCGTCAGTGCAGCTACCTGCTCTGCTGTCTCAGTTTGGGCTGGCTGCATCTCCTATTATGCATCTGGAGGTGTTTCACTATTAAATGATTATTGTCAAGCTCAGACTTTCGTCCTTGCACAATCAGTTTGCAATCAAATGTTTTGGAATACTTTCTGGTCATTTATCTCACAGTTGATCTCAACAACCTACTTTCAGAATGTTCTCAGAAAGTACTACTATGTAAGTGTGCTTCAAGCGTGGTCAGTGATAAATTCTTAACCAATAAGAACCAATTTCACTTTGATATGGACTATCCTATTCTGACTTCCGAGCATGTTTGGACGTGTATAGCATTATCATTTGCATGGGAGACAACACTTAGCAAGACACAAAACAATAGGCATTGTTAACATTCACCCTGGGTAAACCAGCTTTCCTACTGTCTACTCGTATTTCACACTTTCCACACTAAACACCACTCATTTCATAAAACAGTCCTTGCACTGAACTCTGCCTCTGGCACATGTAGAACAAGGCCTACCTGGCACAGCAATGTCTTGTGCCATTGCAGACAACTAAGCAGTTCTGGCTGTTCATGTGGGCTTCTGCTTCTTCAGCATGAGGTGGTGGATCCACTTATTGAAGTTGGGGTCCTGTTTCTTGTACAGGCAACCCAAAGCAATCCAGGTGAAGAGGATGAGGTTAAACAGAAATAACATCTTCCTCCTTTCCCACAACACAGACTATTTCCATATTGCTTGAGATTCCCCGAAAAAGGAATGCTATGACTAACACCCCAAAACACTTAAACTTTCAGCCAAAATACATTTTCAATTCCAATAAAAACATCTCAGTTTTCCATCGAAAACACATCAATTTTTCAAGCAATCCTATCTATTAAAAAACAGTAAGGACTGGTTTTCTGTCTGTTATTGGGTTTTTTAGTCCTGGTAAATGTATGTGGCCTAAAAAAAATCATTACTACTGCTATGGAAAAAAAGTAAGACTGCATAACTGGGCATGGTAATAAGCGTTCCAGTTCCATTAAACTAACTCAATTAATTTAATCACAATAAGAACACAACAAAAACAATTAAGAAGTTGATGAAACTCTCCTTTTGGCCCTGGAAAGTCCATTTCCTCCATTTCTTACTATGTATGAGATGCAGAAGAAATCTATGCTGGCAGCACTCCAGTTCAAGATAAGACATTATACTGCTGCTGCACAGTGGCAAAAGCATTTCGCAAAAATTTCTGTTGAGCAATTAGAAAAAAGCCAGACATATTATTCCTCTCAGATCATGACAGTAGCTTGTTTTCCACTTCAAAAAGTAATTCAGAACATTTTAAATGATGGTTATTAAACATTTTAAATTCAGCAAGTCTGAATAAGTTGTGACTGAAAATTTAACAGAGCTAATCAAGAAGTTCTCTGGATCATCAATACTATTTCAATGAATTTCACACCACTAGGAAAGATTTCATAGGACTGAGGTGTGGGAAGAACTAATACAGCATCAGCTTTCCAATGGGTAGGTAGACTGATCTAAATTAACATAGCCGGACAACTGAAAGAAAATAATTAAAAAACACATAATTTTTGATTACTCTAGGGCATAGAAAGCAAAAGTAATTGAAATTATTGAAGCTTATAACAAATAGAGCTTGTCAAATAAAACTGACTCCTTATACTGATCAACTAGAATTAGAAACTGGTTGAAGACACAGCCAACACACATAGTATTTATACTACTAATGGGCATTTAACAGTGTGCCACATGGCAAACTGAAGGCATAATTATACAAAATTAACTGGCGTGTGTGAAATATATTGCAACTACAGTTTCTGAATTGTATACAGAGATCTATTAAGCACTATCTTCTACTCTTACTTTAAAATGGCATAAAATTGGTTCTTGACTGTAACATTATTTAATATTGTTTTCAATAATTGAAATACAAAAGAAACAAAAATCTAATGATGACAAAGTTTCAAAGGAGAGAAGCAGAGAAAATTAAATGAATATGACTGGACACTTACTAAAACCAGTTTGCTTTGTTTTCTGGTTGCAAACTGCATTCAAAGGAATATGGAAACATACTTACAGGACAGGTGTTCACCAATCACAGAAGCATTAGGCCCAGGGATTATTTAGACTTCCTATCTGATGTCATGGCCAAGACTGCTACAAAAATGAGGTAGAGCAACAGCAGGGAGGGTTGAAACTGTACAATTCTTTTAGCAATCCTGTTTTGCTATTAGTGTTCCAATTAAAAATGTATTTAAATTATTTTAAAGGATCCAAAAAGTGTCACAGATGAATAAAGGATCCAAAAGATTTGAGAGTTTATTTACTTACTTTAAAAAAGAAAGCTGAAGAATGACTTGTTCAGTTTGTAAATGCCTACAGTGAAAACAGCAACATCACAGCACGCACTTCAGTTTAGCAGACAAAAGGCAAAAGATCTGACAGCTTAATACTGAAAGATGACAAATTCAGGCTCAGTATAAGAGGCATGTTTTTAATAGTAAGTAATTACATTTTGAACAATTTGGGTGGATTCTTAATCTTAGGAGCTTTCAGATCAATGCAGGATGCTTCTTCTAAAAACTGCTGTAGTTCAAACAAGAATTTGAGGAAGTCTTGGAAACTGCTCTCTGCAAGAGAGCAGACTGAACACATGGCATTTCCTTCTGCCTTCTGAATCAGATTACACTGGAACTGTTAAATTTGTCTCATGGACATACCTCAAAGGAGGTAGATTTAAGAAGGGAAGTGAAGTGGGCATCATCATTTTGGACATGTTGGACCATGCAATACAGTTGGGGCTATATGGCTGCATTACACTGCAGCCTTAAAAAAGCACCACCCAAGTACCACCTGAGTGTAAAATTGTTGATAGAGGCCCCACATTTCTGCACCAGAAACTATGAAAATGAAAGCAGTAACAGCATGCTATGTTCAATCTAGCAAATGCCAGAAATTCTGCAAGCCAGCAGATTGCTCAGCCCAAGCCTGCAAGGGTACTGCTCCTTTCAGACTGTTTGTGTCATGAGAAAGAAAAACAAGAGGGGTGCAATGCACCTGAAAGAAGCAGTTCACCTTTTCTGCCTCAGTGAAATAAAGGTGAACAGGCCTGACATGCTGCAGACAAGACTTCACGACATAAATGAAAAGGCAGTCAGAAGAGACAGATGTCTGCAGACTTTCTGCTTGAATTGTAACCCATATCTTTTATAAACACAAAATTTGCAAACACTGAGTTTCCAGTCTCAGGAAATTAAATTACTTCAACTGATGGCACTCCTTTTTGGATGTAAAGAAATGAGATTCAAGTTAATGCCTTGTCTAGTGCCAAGTAAAAGCTTTAACTGGAATCTCTTGTACCTTAGAACAAGATCTCATGCCACAAGGCTGCTGGATCTTTTGGGTGTGACTGCCAAGTTCTCACTTTTGAGAGTTATCTTTGAACAAAGCAAAGACCATATAAAGACAGCCACATTTTGAAGAAATGTGTTTTAGTGAAAAGCTGGTATACAGATTTAGCTGGAGAATGTTCTCCAAGAGAGACTGTAAAATTTTTCACTCAAGGAATTCTTTTAGTAGCCAAGATTCATACTTCACAATTTAGAACTTCTGCATACCCAACTGACAGAATTAAGATGCAGCGTAGGAGTTCACCCTGCACAGACGGTGAGCATAATGTACAGTCATCACAGAGACAACAGTTCAGAGATGGAAAAATCCTTTCAGGTTGTTCATGACAGATCTATGGCAATGGTCACCCACGACAATATATTTTTAGAGTTCTGTACAGCCCACTTCTCCGCATGCTCCTCCCAGAGACCCTTTAATTCATACATACTTTTAAAGCTCACGTGACTCTCTTCAGCAAGATACATCATAGTATCACTTTTGGATCTGCACTTTCCCACATGGGCAACACGCTGTTGTGGAGCTGTATTTAAAGCAGGCTTTGGAACCAAGGACTTTGCAGTTTAACAGCATTAAAACAGCCCACAAACTTTTCAAGTACATATTTTATTTCATTCATATTTCACAGTCTTTTTCTGTAAAGTTTTAGCAAAAAGGTCATGTTTTATAACAGAGTTCTTAGGCTATTGTATTCAGAGCTAGCAATGGACTTTGAAAGTATGGAAAATATTTACATTCCAAATAGAACAGCAGAATTTCAAAAAGACATAGCAAAAGTAATCAAAAATACCAACATTTATTAAAACATAATAGAAAAACAGCAGTCTGCCTGACCCATCAAGCTACTTTGCCTGCTAGTTGTCAGCAGCAACTGAAGACGCAGCAGGCCACTCAGCTGACTGTATAGACTAGGATAGCTGTCTTCAGCTAACCTGTTAATATGAAGATCAAAAAAATCTGTAAGTTCATTGCTTACAGCTTTCCAATCAGAGGCTAATGTCTCTGTTCAGATCTACTGTACCACTTCTAGATTCTGGCCAGAATCAGGACCTATTCTGGTCCTGATGTAGTCAACTAATTTTATCACCGCATTTCCAAGCTAACCTATTTTATTACAGTGTAGCCAAGAAAGGAAAGTCCTTATTGTTTAAAGCTTTAGGAGGGGTTCCAGGAATAAAGGCAGTTAAGAGAATCTGAACAGAATGGTACCTGATGATATATTTATCACCAGGGGCCTTCAACATACTTTTTTTTTTTTTAATAGATGTTGCATCAAGATTTGTCATTATCTAGGGACATGGTTCCTAAGAGACTCCAGATTTACACAGAATTTTTCCAGAGTGAATTTTTCTAGTTCAGAAAATACTATTTAAGTTTGGACTGATGCCCAGTAGGAGATTTCTAACCAGCTGCTGGACTTTATTCACAGATTTATTGAATATATATTTATACAAATTACACCAGCTGAAAGGCCCATTAGCTGTAAGCACACCCACCTCAGCCCACCCTCAGTGCTGTCAGGGGAAAAAATACATGTGGTACTATGAAGATTATGAGAGATTTCCATCAGCTGAAGTCTCCCTAAGTCAGATAGCATTACCCTGCAAGGGAAGTTTTTAATTCCTTTTTACTCCATCAGAGCGGTGGAAATAGGATGGAGAAGAGGTCATCAGTAGACTAATTTTTCCTTATCTCTCAAACAGCTAAGATTGGACTTCATTTTTCTGACTTCCTTTTATCTGTAGGTAGCCTGAGCCCATCACCTTGTTTTCTAGGACAGTCATTACTTAAAATACATATTCTGAACTTCAAATTCTCCTCTCCATTTAATAGGTAGAATAAGAACTTTAGGAAAAGTAGGAAAAATATCCTATGCTCTTTCTCATACCTCACATCTCTAGGTCTGTTATATATATCTGATCAATGGAACTGTCTCCTCTCCTTGTAAGAAGCTCAGAAGAAACAAACTCATCTTCTCTCCTAAATGGCCTAAAGGCACCATCACATCTATCCTGCCAAATGTCATTTGGTGCAGATGTCACAACCGATAGACTGCGTCCAGATCGGACATGTCCTACATTGTTACACTGCACTCTGCTGCTTTGCTGGCTGAGTTTCGGTATTGCTGGGCTGTGAGATCTGAGACATCCTAGTATCACAACTATGGCAGGTATATTTAAAAAAATACATGACAGAACAGTCTATGAACACTTTTAATCAATTCCCACGTACTGTACCAGTCTTCAGCAGGTGGGCAAGATCCCATGAAAGGTGTGGCTACTAGTTTGCTACAGCTCCACTAGGGCAAACCATACTACAGTATTTCTCTCTAGGCCCATGGCTAGTACAAATAAGACTCATGTGCTTCCTCTTTGTAAGACATGTACAGCATTTCTTTTCATCAGTGTAAAAAGGGTGAAATCCCCTATGAGAGAGAAGTCCCTTACAATTTCTCTAATGCACCTATTTGAGGAAGACTACAAAAGCATTCTCTACAGTCTTCTGCAATATTGACACCCAGAGGCATCAGAAAATGAAAAGGTCTACTCACAAATTAGCAAGACAACCACTGTAGTTTCAAGTTTCTTTTTTAAAAATCTGAAACAGATCACAGAAGTAATCAAAGCATCAAAATACCCAGTCACCTAGATGGCACACTGAAATTATTGTCACACAGAAAGGAATATATCATAGATATATTTAATGTTCTTAGACAAAGCCATTCTCAGTTTTCTACACAGACCGCTCTGGAAAAAACCCTTCAGACTGGAGGGAGTGACATAGTAAAGTGTATACATAAACTGAAAAGAAATAAATATCTGTAAAACAGCTTTTCTAACGTGACTACTGTGGATCTCCACTAGCAAGATATCTTAGGCCACTATCTTACGCACACAGTAGTGTTAGCTATATCTCAAGCAGGCTAGGAACGATATAAATCTATGAGGAGGAAAAAATGTTCCGGAGTTTGTTGGGTTTTTTGAAGTTCAGGCTTAGGTGGATAAAATTTTTAGGGAGTTTATCCAAGCTGACACATCCCCACCCCTACTACATGCACCTGATTTCTCTAAATAAAAAAAAAAGAGATGGAAGGGGATGGGAGAAGAACTTCACCCCAGACCATTAAGCTCCTCTCATTTCATCTCTCTTTTTTTATACTTGGAAACCTGATTTCGCAGAAGAAAATGGGCTTTATAAAGACATACATATCACGTAATATGCAATTAGTCTTGTCAAATTAATCCTGGTGAATGAATATCTTCCTTGTCCTTTTTTTTTATATCACTGCAGCTGTTAATATGAATGTTTAATCTGTCAGCTACTGAGAAAATGCAAAGCCACCATCCTTGTACACTTCTTACCATTAATGCACATGGCTTTGAAACAAACACTTCCAGTGCAAGCCTTGTGATTTTTATTCACTCCAACCATACAGATCAAAATCTAAAGTATACTCATCAAAACACGCCATTTCACTTGGGTCCTAAGACACTCATCACCTTACCAAAGACTGCAATGAATACAGAATGCCTCTTCACCACAACCAGATTTCCACTAATTCAAATGAATTAAAACCCCAAAGCCAGCCTCTCTGCTACCAGAAAAGACAGCAACAACCTGAAGATACCACCCCACCAACATTGTTTCCTCTCCTCATACCAACCCCCTTTGCCTACTTGGCATTGATGATGGCCCAACAGTGGGGCCTGTTCTGCTGTTGCACTCTCAGAACTGACTATCTGAAGATGGGAATAGGAAGATGCTTGCAGAATACTGCAAATGACTGTCTTTTCACTGCAAGAATGGGAATGTGCCAGCAGAGCACATCCACGCTTCTCGAGTCCAAGGAATTATACAGAGTTAGCATGGAGTTCAAGTCACACTGCAGTACTAAGTACCCATTCTGTCAAGAACCCACCATACTATTCCAGTCCCACAGCTGGCCCTGAAGACAAATTGTTAATGGCAATGTGACTTGGACTCAAAAACTGCTCAAGTAAAAGTTTGAGACGGGAAAAAGGAGGCACAGAAATAAGTTGACCAACAGCTATGCACCTTTTTACTACATGTTGGGATATGTGGGGTCTTCGAGGTTGCTATCAGCTTTGTCAGACCCTGTTAGAGAGGCTTCTAGCTCTGCCCATGACTGTGGAGCATTGTTCTTTATTGCCTCTATGAAAAGTTGTGTTTGGTGCTTCAGCCGGTCCAGCTCAGCCTGAGTCAGTTGGTTCTGATGAATGAGCTCCTTGGTCTTTAAAGTGATCTCCAGCAATCCCGACCTGCGTAGCACAACAAGCGTATTCTGAAAGCGTCTGCACCTGCTTTGTTGCTGCAAGAGCAGCTCAGGGGTAGTGCAAATCTCTTCTGGTATCAGAGGGGGGCTCCACACTGCAGACTGCATTGTAGTCTGTGATGCACCCTCACTCTCATGAAGGGTGCACTTTGCTGCCTGCAGAGTTCCGAAAGGCAAAAGGGGAGTCAAACCTGGCACTTTCTGAGTGTCACTGGAAACATGATGAAAACCAGAAACAGCTGACAGTTTTCCACTTGTCACCAGAGCTGAAGAACTTTGCTGGTTAGAATCCTGAGGGGTCTTAAAGCTAACTGGTAGGTGGGCAAAAGGACTAGTAGGCAAGCCTGTGCTCATCAATACAGAAGAAGTCTCCATCTTGGGTGCTTCTGTGCAGAGTCGTTTATGGCAAGTGGTTTCCTGACATTCTTCTAGATCAAAGGAGTGATCTCTTTTGCAGGGTTGTGGTGCTATTTTGGGATAAGAATTCAGGATGGGCAAATAATTAGTGGAGTCACTTCTCTTTTTCCCAACAGGGTGAGGACTAATGGGAGGTGGGATTGATGGACGAAGAAACACTAGCTGTGGCTGAGCTGGAATCACTTCAAAGGATGGCTGCACAGTCCAAGACTGGAGCTGTGATGAACTCCCCTGAGAAGTGAAACAGGGAAAAAACAGAAATCTTACAGAAGCATTGTAAAAGAGGATCCAAAAAGTCTTAAATGAAACAGGTAGACTGTGACATTTCTCCATATTTGATATATATTGTCCAATTAATGTGTTCTGACAACAGGGCATAACACTGGAATCAAAGTTGTAATCCATAATCCTTTTACTATGCAACAGCAGATATATTTAAAAACAATTCAATCTGAATTTATACATTTTTCCTAAAGAAGGATTACACCGCATATTTAAATTGTACAATGTTCATGTAAAAGTTCAATGCAGACTTGGAGTCAAACAACAAGTGCACAGAAAAGTTGAAAAATAATTAAGCTATGTAGTTATGAAATATATTAAGAGACAAGGAAAGACTGCACAGACATTTTAGGAACAATTCAGACTCCCTGTGTTGAAAGGTAGCAACTCAAATCTTGTTGATTCTATTCTTATAGCAAGCTTTTGAAATGGTTACTTAAAATAGACAACAGCTGTTCAGTAAGTCTTGCAATCTTAAGCACAATACATGGTTTCAATAAATTTAAAAACATGAAGTAGAAAAAAAAATGCTGAATATCAACCAATGCAAGCAAAAAAGCCTGCTGTAAGCCCAGAGGAGTTTAACTTCATACCTCTGGTGAAACAGTGCACCAATAAACCTTAAAAGTATTATATTTCAAGAAAAATGCCCATGTTTTTACTCCCCCCCACAAGCCATATTCTGGAATATAAGGGTTATACATCCATTTTTACAAGATATTACCTCTTTTTCCTCCAACACATTACTACAGATCTTCATGAGATCCTCTGGCCAAAAACATGCCTGCTTTTCTCCAAAGATATCAAATGGTCTTCTAATATATTTAAGTCATCACCACTACAATTATACTAATATAATATTGTCAGGCACTTTTTCAGTTCTTTACAACCTGGAACACAACTGGCATGCTTGCTGAAGGAACAATTTTTAGCTACCACAAATACATTTTATTATTTTTAGTACTATACTGAGTCATCTGAAATCCATATCCTTTCCACCAGTCTCATAAATTTTAAATGCTTATATGCTTTGACAAAGTCCCTTTCCCCAATTAATGATCTGAACTCACCAAAAAAAGATACTATCCACTGATTACGACACTGAGACTTGGCGATAACATTCAATTACCTACTCTGACACAATGTTTCTTCAGTTCAGTGGGTCCTTACGGAATAGGGATACAGAACTACTAGCTGTAAAATTAAATATTACTACCATAACAGAGAAAATAGGACATACAAAAGAGAAGTATGTGGAGATGTTAGGAGTAAGGAAGCATATAAACACTGAGGCTATACATACACAGGACAGAACATGTAGCCTTAAGGAGCAAGGCTTTGGAGTCAGAAGTGGTCATGTCCTGCACAACTGTACAGCACCCACACAGCAGAGCCCTGGAATCACTGAGGCCAAAAGAGCTGTGGTAACTCTTTATCTTGTTCTTGGGTTTCTTCCTATCTCTTATCTACTTTATTCTCCTTTTCCTTCTCATATTGCACTCTGCTCTTGTTCTCCTACTCAAAATCTCATTTTCAGTAGAGGAGGACACCTCTATTTTACTAATTCTGCAAATTGTTGTGGGTTTTGTTGTTTTTTTTTAATGAAAGCTATGGAAGATAACATCCTGTCTAAAAAGCCTTCCTATTTATTAAGGACTTTTACAAGACTGACAGAAACCTTGACACAAGTAGCACTGTGTTTTTGAGAATTGATCCCTGCTTGATTTTTATTTTGTTTTTAGTAACATTGTTGTTAGCTGTTTATATTCTGAAATTGGGTCAGCAGGTAACCATCATTGTGCAGGATCACAGTGGTTCCAAGACAGAAGGACGATGCTGACTGAAATTGAAACTGGAACAAATAAACAGCAGTAACTGGATGCTGCCTTTTCTTTTTTTTTCTTTTTTTTTTTTTGGTCTAGTGTGCCCAACTGCGTGCAGCGCTGAAAAGACCATATTAAAAAGACGGCCAACATGACTATCTGAGATCACCAGGCATAATGAAAAAAGAGAAAAAGACACTTCATTATTATTCTGACCTAGACTCGTTGCTTTTGATTATTGTAGTAAACATTTTTCAATTTAACATTATTGTCCTTAATCATACATAATTAGCCTTAGATGTTATGACACACTGCTCAAGAGAACCAAGCGGTAATTTTATCTACCTCCAACACTTCCTTGCCAAATTCTGTCTTTGCTATACTACCAGGTTTTTTTTAATATATATGTGGTTGGGGGGTTTTTTATATATATATAAAGCTACTTATTATTAGCTGCTTCTGCTAACTGTTCACAACACAACCTGGAGCTTAACATTAGACTGCCACTGCAATCAGTGCTTAATTTTTGAGCTCTGGGCCAAAGCCTATCAACCTTTAGCGAAGCTTGGCCTATTCCCTACTATAACTAACTTAAGAATTTGTTAACATAGTCTTTGTCCACACATCTAGGAACATGACTAAATATTGAAATTGTTTCTTGTCAAGATAAGGCACAATGCTCAGAGAACAGAATCATCTCCCCTACAAATGCATGATCTGCTAAATACTAACAGAAACCCATATTTGTATGTATTGTGTATCACAATAATACACAGTGTTTAATAGGTCTTGCTTGCTGTCATAACAGATTCAGTAAAAAAAGAACTTTTGCTCTATTTCAAAAATGAGTGTGTACAGAGTAAGAGGTCTAATAACAGAACAGTACTTGGAGCTCCTGTATCTTCTATTAAAATGTAAAAGTTAGGGGTCTTGCAGATGTGCTGGAGGAATTACACATTACAAAATACTGAAGAACATAAATAGGGAATATAATTGTTGCAATGTGAGCCATCACATGCAGTTAAGGGAAACAACTACTAAACTACAAGTATCACAGCTAACTTCAGGTAAGGATTTAATTTTTGCATTTATAACATTCTGGATTAGTGTTTCCCACTGCATATGAAGCCCTTATAGGACCTAAGAACAAGGAAACAAACCTATCATCCTACTTCACCATCTTTATTGAATGAAAAAGACAACAGCAGTTTTCAAAAGCAAATCACCCATTTCTGTTTAATCTTTGGTGCTATTTACATAACATTGTTAAAGATGTATTTTGGGAGGATTCCTTTAAGACAAAGAGGTTTAGTAGATATAGCAGAGCTTCTCCATCTCACTTTTTTTTTCCATCTTAGTGATTCTAGCCTGCCCCTCAAAAGAGCAGACTGTCACATCAGAACTTAAGTACCAGTTACTTTCCAGACTGCAACAATGCAAAATCTTTTTGAAAGGAAAAGTATTTTTTAAAAAAAAAATTAAGAACATGGAATAGCTTTCAATATATTATTTCTTCCCTACCTGCTTAACTAACACATTTTTCATTACGACCATAGGAGAAAGTGCAGGAAAGGAGCTGCTTGTGGTCCTCGGGCATTGCCAAGGTCCATCCTCTGCATTCCAACACAACGTATTCAGCACATCCTCAGAGTCCGTCTGCTCCATAGCACTTGGGCACTCTGAACTTCCATCTGTCAGATGTAGAATTTAGCTGTTAGTTGTTTCCCATGCAACATGCTTACTACTTCCTTTCAACCAAGTCACAAAGAACAATAAAGTTTAGATCTGTAATATCAACAAAATTAGAGCTGCTGTGACAGCTGTCAAATAGCCTTTATTAAAAGGCTTTATATTTCAGGTCAGTTCTCATAGACATATCTTCTCCCCAAAAAACCTACGACTTTTTGTTCTTTTGTATTTAGTCTCCAAGGGACTGCACGCTATCATGAAGGTTGCTCTAAAAAATTGGTACAGGAAAGAACTACAGGCTCCAGCATTGCCATATCCATTGTTTGTGCTGCAGGCATTTTGTGTCTTGAAATTTTCTATCTAAAAACCCAGTACAGGAGATATCTCTCACAAAAGCTTTTTTTTTCTCTCCTTTAAAGGCCATCTTTGCAGTTTTGTTGACTATTAAAATGGCACACTGTGTCTACATTTTACTGATGTTATAACAATTACTCTCTGGTTTATCAGGCTCTACTGACAATCTGGTCAGCCCATAAGACACATTAAGCAGCATAATCCAACAGTTCCTTCAGCACTGCATAGAACAAAAAGTAATTTTGCCATCCTCACTTCTAGACTTTCTAGTCTGAGATTCTTCCATTAATTTTTTTACTAGTCACATTTTAAATTCCCATGCCATTCAAATTCACAGGATGAACTTTATAACTAGATAAAGTTCCACTCCAAAAGACTTCGGTGGTAGGATGATTGCAGATGAAACCTATCTTGCCTAGAAAAGCCCTCCACGGTAATGAGACACAAACTGAAAGGGGTTAGTCAGATTTATCAAACATCACCAATAAAAGCAAAGCCTGAGCAAGATAACACACAAAAAAGTTAACGCAGTGGTTTTCCCAACCTGAATATCCAGAGTCTTTGTCAGATTCAGCTGCCGCCATGCTGAGCCGATGGTTGAAGCTCTTCATTTCCATCACTTTGCCCAGTAGTTCCTCAAGGGTCTCAGGAGATGACTGTTTTGCCTGAGTGCTTCCATAGTGCCAAGGGCAGTTTTTAGTGCCTTTTCCGTCGAGGAACTACAAAAACAATTAAGAACAAAGAAAGACTTTCTCTGAATCTAAACAAAGCTCCATTAGCATAAGACAACAACGGTGGCCATGTTTCTCAATAAGGAAATCAGGTTGTGAAAGGTTTGCTGTATCTGTAGAGCCATCTATAGAATTCTATTAAACTCTCTGCCTCACATTTGCCATGTTTATCACACATTTAGGGTAGAAAATAAAATTGCCAGTAAAACAAGTTTATCTCCTGCAAAACTCTCTAAACTACGCATGTTTAATAACACATTACGGAGTAGAAAAGATAGGCAATAATTCCTTGCGTCAACTGACACTTTGTAGACTCTTCTGAACTTAAGTTTTACACCTGCCTTCAGATGATTTTTCAAGTTACAGGAAAGTTTTCATGAGCCAATCTTTCAGTCCCCTGCATCAACTACAAAAGAACAATATCACAGTAGGCATGGCTTTGAATCTTTTAGGATAGGCTAAAGATGCCAAAATAACAAAGGCATAGGAAGGAATAAACTAATTGAAATAAAAATATGGTACATGTATTTTAAGTTTTTAAAAAATCTTTACTGAATGCCATCAACTAATCAAAGGTATTTTAGAAGTACTGAAGACATGGATGCAGCTGAAGGGGTAGAATGCACCCATCTTATTCAGCTCCTTTCTTCAGGGGCTAAGCAAGGCAGAGTACAGGGCAGCCAGTCTTACTCAATTACCTGAAACGGGACCATTTCACATTGAAAATTTCTGAGTAAAGTCCAGAGTAGATTCACCTGGAGAGCACAATGCATCAGTAATTTCTAACTCAATTATGAATTCTGTTGGACAAGCTAAAAATTCCTTACTGCACACACAAAACTTGGCAAATAGGAACGTCATTTCTATATCTGCTAAAAAGGCAATGCCTAAATCTATATAGTTCAGCAACATGGGTAACCAAGATAAAACAGCAAATACAAAGTGTATGGTTGTTATCTGTAATTAAAACAATGTCCCTCTGAGTCAAGTAGGACAGTTGCATGTCCTTTTACTCTGCCAGTGAGCTAACTAGAGACTTCCAGAAATACCTCAAAGTACTGAAAGAATGAAACACAGACCAAAAACTGATGTATTAGACATCTCTTCAGCCCCAAAAAGCAAACCAAACTAAAAACTAAAGGCTATTCATAAACAAGATTTATATCAAGAATTATAATTACTCAAGCCATATTTATCCTACAAAAACTTTGATGTCCCAAGGATTGAATCCCAAAACAAGACAGATGTGCTGAGGGAAGCCCATACAACAAATACAGCTAAATCTGGAAAACTGTGGTTTTGTTAACAGCCTGATTCACTCCCAAGAGTAAAGTCATCAGAGAAAGGAAACTTAAATAAGCTATCAGTGAACATGCTGGGGGCTAAAGAAATCCATACTGCTAGAAGTGCGACACGTAACATACCTGCAGTGCACTCCTAGGGGAGACATGGCCTTAGAAATGCCCTTCCTGCACCCAGAATGAAAGGCTGAAACTAAACACTACAAAAATCAGAATAATGTAGTAACATTATGGTCTCCCATACTACATACTTGTCACAACCTTCAGCTGCTTCCTGAGAGTAGGCAGCTTCTAATAAGACAAAGTTTCAGGTTCTCTGAAAGAAGGTAACTGAGAGCTTGGCTAACAGGAAACTGACATAACGAAGTGCAGAAATTACTTCTAATGTTATTTGTAGAAATTATTTTCCTATAAAGTAACCACTTGAAGTTATGTCTCATGTTAAAGCTTTGTATTTAAATTATAAAAACAGGAACTCAGGAGTCTGCATCATAGTCAGGCTAGCAGTCCATCAGCAGCAGCAGCATCCAGTGCAAGCTGCTTCAAATGACATTGCAAGAGACATTCTGGAACAATTTACACTGAAATGCAAGTTTCTTCTTAAGGTCCTGCCAACTGGTTGTTAGAACTGTGCTCCAAAATTTCGAGCCTCGGCAGCTACAGTAATGAATTCTGAAATGGTAAGACGCCTGTCTATATAACTACAAGAACGACGGAATAATGGCCAGCAGAAGAGATTTTCCTCAAGTAGCTACTTGTGTAGTCTTTACTTTCAGTTTTCAGTCACACCTGCCTGCCTGCTAACAGGTATGGAGCAAACACGATTACGTAAGAGCAACCTAGATGCCATCCCTGGAATGGAAGGCGTGCTTTAAGTCCTCGATCCATGTTCTCACTACTTAGTCCTTTCCAAAACACCCCAAACCAAAACTAGAAACAGAAGGATAGAAATAAGTAAAGTAAGAACACCTCATCTGCCAGTTTTGCACGAAGGGAAGCTTTGGGAAGGGCTGGCACATCTTTTTCTCTTATGGAACAAACCAAAACAACAAAACCACAACCCAAAATAAACAAACCAGAAGCGCCGCTCTCCCGAAACGCGGGCGTGCGATCCCTCCTGCCCGTGCCCGAACCAGA